TTTAAAGTTCTAGAAATATAAAAAGTGTACATTCTTTTATAGGGGACCATGTAGCACTTCCATACATGTATACATTGTATAATTTTCGAATCAAGTGGAACATCTATCTCTTCAAATATCATTTCTGCATGCTGAAAACTTTCAAAGTACTTCCGTCTACATTTTGAAATATATAGTGTGTTATCACTATACAAAGCCACGTATGTGTAACTCCCCGCCAGAACTTTACTTCTTTCTTCCATTTAACTGTAACTTGGCACCCACAGATTAAACTCCCCTCTTCTGGCCCTCCATTCTTTTTGGCCTCTGGTGACTCTCCTAGCAGAGAGGACTGGTTATTTCTTAATTTGTTACTTTCTTTCTGTTTTTTTTTTTTTTTTTTTTTTTTTTGAGACTACCATTCTACTCTCATCTTAACTGAGATCAAAATTTTTAGGTTCTGTATATGCTGGAGATCATGTAGTATTTGCCTTTTCGTGCCTGGCTTATTTCGTTTCTCATGACGATAATGATCTCCAGTTCTATCTATATTGTTGTCAATGTCAGGATTTCATTTTCCCAGAATCTTGAAGCTATTTCTTAATCTGGATTTAACCCATCAAAGTTTGTCTTTTGGTAACATCCTTGATAACTTTCCCTGTTGTGCACACTGACCGTTCCTTGGTCATGTAGGGATTATTTGTGCATCTAATGTTTTCTATGGGGGGCCTCTTTTTCTTCTTCAAAACTGAATTATGTCTTTGTTACTTGTTCAAATTCTAGTCACGAAATTAAAATCCTATCCCAGCTTTTTAAAGTCTTTTAGCTTCTATTTTGTTTCCCACTCTGAATTTTAATCGCACACATTTGACATTCAATCATGTGTTGCTCAAACAGATTTGTTTTGTTTTTCATATATGTGTATATCTCTTTGAGGGCAGGATGATTTTTACAATTTAGGAAGTGTTAAATAAGTGAAGTCAGCAAGTACTGACAGAGACAGCAGGTGTTATGGGCTAAATTGTGTCCCCTTCCTCCACACACACACACACACACACACACACACACACACACAACACATTTGAAACTTTACCTCACGGCATCTCCAAATGCAACTATATTTGAAAATAGAACTTTTAGGGGGATAATTAAGGTTAAATTAGGACTGAGGGCCCTAATTTGATCCCTTGGTAGTCTTAAAAGAAAAGATTAGGACACACAGAGACTGGCTCCAGAGCTGGGCATGCAGGGGGTTGACCACGCCAGTGAAGAGGGTGACCATGTGCAAGCCCAGAAAAAGACACTTGAGAAAAACATTTTCCTTATTACTTTCAGAGAAAACCAAATCTGCTAGCACCTTGAACTTGGATTTCCAGCCACCAGAAATGTCAGAGGCTAAGCTTCTGTTGCTTAATTCACCCTGTGTAGCACTTTGTTAGGGTAACCCTTTGGAACTAATACATCGGATAGAAGATTGATACTGAGAGTTAAAAAGTAAGAAAGAAACAAGAATAATGCATTTTCTACATCCACTGATGACACTCCTTCCTCACTACTAACCGCATTTCTAAAGGAGCTGAGTATTTAACTGGACTCTTGAGAAAGCCCAGTGAGTCTTGGACTTGTTAGAAAGAAAGTATCATTTTAGTATGAAGTTCAAAGAGATGCGAGGGGAACTGGACCCTGGGTTCTACCACTTAGCCTCTTTGGGGGAATGATATGGTTATTTTGGCAGAAAGTTAACTGATAGTCTGGGGAATTATTCTTCTAATCTAAAACTTACAATGTTTGGTCATGAAGCTTAAAACAAAGCATGTCTAGGACTGATGATAAGCACCTAAAAATTAATGTATATATTGAATATTTGCCTGATAGAGAAGATGGCAACCATGACTGCTTTATTTTCTTTTTATATTTGCATATATATACATTTTATAAGCACAGATTCATATAATATAAAAACCAAATATATTAACCATATATATGTTTATGTATATATGCTATACGTATGTGTGTGACATATGTATATATATGTATATATACAAAGAATACATATGTAATATATACACACATATATGTGTATATATTACACAGTGCGAATATATATTTCTCTATATATTACACTTATATCTATTTTTATACATATGTGGGTTTTTTTGCCATGGTCAGAACAATGAATTTTGTTTTATATCACTCTTTTGATATCGTCTAATCTGCTTAGCTTAGAGAAAAAAAAGTCATTGGAATCAATTATATATTATCCAAACTCAGTTTGGAATCTTGAGGTCCCTTTTGTGAAGCAATCTAGAGGTTCATTGACAGTGCACAGGATGCCCAGAGAATGACATCAAAATTATGAGAATTCTATGCACTTGAGTGTGACTAAAGAAACTGGAATTTTTTTTTTTTTTTTGTCTTTTTAAAACAGCATTTTGCAGGTTTGGGGTTTAGCTCAGTGGCATAAGCGCCTGCCTTGCAAGTGTGCAGTCCTGAGTTTGATCCCTGGTACCGATAAAAACGAACAAGACAAAAAAAAAAAAAAAAAAATCTCAGCATTTTGCTGTACAGGTCAGGCTGCTCTTGAACTCATTTTGTAGCTTGATCTGGCCTTGCACTTTGGGATTAAGGCCTGCTCCAACACACCTGACCAGCAGCTGGCATTTGATTAGAGATATATGAATTAATTGAAATAAGGGTTGGGCCAAACTCATGAACCTTACAAAGCACTGATTTCATGTCAACACAAAATCTTTTTATAAGTATTTTAATCTTTTAAGGATCAGAAATAACAGTACCGAATGAAGGCTTGTCAAGTGATCCAGATTAGTGGTTAAAAAGGTTTTATAGTCTCTTATTAGCTAGATCACCTAGTCAGGCACTGAACTTGTTTCTCTCAGTCTTAGTTGCCACCTCATAGTGGAATTAATGTTTCCACCTACTTTACTGACAGCTAGGTAGTGTAATGTATGTAAACTCATGAGGAAGCCTATGCTAAAATCAGTTATCTAATCTAGTCATGAAATTCATTAGTGTCTGTGACTGATTTTGCGCTGTAGTTTCTCTGACTTCATTATGCAATCTTGTTTCCAAGGTTCCTTCCAACAAATAAGACCAGAAAGACACCATCAGTGGAGAGACTGAGGTTGAATACATTAAAAGGAAAAAGTTGGTCCCACCCTTTACCTTGTTTGGCCATGCAGTTAATTAAATGATCTTATCAGTCTGACTATAAGCCTGTTTAGACACTAAAAAAAGCAATTTCTTCTTCCTCACCCTCAGCTCTCAGCTCATATGCTTCTTCTCTTCATCCCTGTCCAGTCCCTAACAAGGTGATCTTAATCCACAACCTTAGTATCTCTGATAGGAACCGTTTCTAATCCATCCTTAACCGCCTCTGTTTAATTCATGGAAGGCTGTTTTTGAAGGTTCATCTCTGACAGGACTCATTGCAAACTTAATATTAAACTCAGAATTTATTTTGCTTTTATTATACCAGAAGAAAATTTAAAAACAAAATTGAGAAGAGATCCAGTAGGCTGAATTTGAAGCTGATTATTCTCAGGGAGGCTCTTCGAGATAATTTATAGTCATTTAATTATATAAATTTTCTGAATCCATTCTGAGCAGGGTGTGCTCTGAATTTTGTTAAAATGTCTTAAACACCTACTGCACTCAGCTATCCTGAAATACGCACCATAACAAGCTGTCTATTAGCATCTATCACACAGGTTTCTGTCTAGGAGGAGCTGGAAAGAATATGAGCTGTGTATTTAAAGGTGCTTGTCATCACTCATGAACAAGACGAAACAGCTTGAAAATCACTCAGATAATCACTTAGGACCTTACCAAGGTGTCAGGGGCAAAGTTGAGAGTGGCTCTGTTTGCATGTGGCATATTATTTGATCCTACAGCATGGTGGCAAGGCTAACATTACCATGGCCCCTTTCTAGACAAGAAAATTAGGTGGACAGAGCTTCCCAAGTTCAGACAGCACCAAATATCTAAATTTTGGGTTCTAAGCACTTTACAGATCACGTGTTCCTCCCTCCTGTATTATACAAGACCATATATGGGACTGAACATGTATCTCTTTTTCTCATCGGTTTGCATTTATGCATTTTGCCCACATTGTAAAATATCATTATCAATATCCCACGGACTGATTATTCATATGTGTTCAGATTTTTCAGTAAAATTAGAAGTCATGATTTTAAAGGAGGTATATGTACAGTAAGAAAAAAAACATGTGAGTTTAGGTATGAATGCTAATTCTTAAACATTAGTTATTATATCTAAACTCAATTTTTAAGTGCTATGTGTTCAAATATTTAAATGCTACATATTCATATAGAATTCCTTAGGATATTAGAATATATATGAGCACATTTGTTCATATCTAAGCTGATTATATGTATGCCTTTATTTAAGGTTTTATATGTACACTTAGAATAATATATACATATATTATATATGGTATATTTTTGAAGGATAGACTTCCTGTAATTATCGATTCTGCATCAAATCTAAATAAATGGCAGATATGACTTGTGTAGCTCAGAAGGGCCATTCTTTGCTTCTCTGGTGCTGGGGAAAGAAGAGAAGAGTTAGGGAAGAAACACAAGCATTTCACTAGCTTCTCTTCCCTTAAACTCATTCTATAGAATCTCCTGAACTGGCTGGAACAGCCTTCTCTGTCCCCACCCGTCTCCCTCCCAAAGCAGTAGGAAAGTAGGTGGGTAATTGGGTCCAGATTGGAAGTACTTAAATATTCATGAGGTTGGCAGGGATGGGGAGGGGGTGACAGTCTAGGATGGGGGTAGGAGATGCAGGAAGTGATTAGTCATTGAGAGCTAGTGAACAATTCTGAGAAAGAGACAGAGAGGGAAGGAGAAGAAAGATTGGGTGGGTAGGGTGGAGAAAAGAGGTAAGGGGAGAGGGAGAAGAAAAGGGAGAGAGAGAGAGAGAGAGAGAGAGAGAGAGAGAGAGAGAGAGAGAGAGAGAGAGAGAGAGAGAGAGAGAGAGAGAGAGAGAGAGAGAGAGAGAGAGAGAGAGAGAGAGAGAGAGAGAGAGAGAGCATGTGCGATGAGCAATAGCTGTGGTCCTTACAGTTGCTGCTAACTGCCCTGGTGTGTGTGTGAGAGAGAGAGAGAGAGGGAGGGAGAGAGAGCGCGCGCGCTAGCGCGAGAGAGCGAGTGAGCAAGCGAGCAGAAAAGAGGTGGAGAGGGGGGGAATAAGAAAGAGAGAGGAGGAAAGGAGAGAAGGCAGGAGGAAGGCGAGGGACGATACAACCATGCTGTGCTGCATGAGAAGAACCAAACAGGTAGAGCTAAAGATCTTTACTTCTTGCCGTTGTGAAATTAGAAGAGATTTCTCTATAAAGGCAGAAAAAATCATTGTAACTGCTGCTGCCCTGGCATGGGGCTAGCGTTTCTTTAGCATATGGTAACTGGTGATCGCATTCTAGCTTTTATTCTTTTCTGTCTTTCAAGCTTTGGTTTTGGAATGCTGCTACTGGTTAGGACGAGTGGAGGGAAATTATGCCCGGACAGTAATATGATTGCTTTTTTCTCTATTACTAAATGCTCAGCCTTTTAGGACTGGTTTTGAGGGTGTGGATGTGGAAAGGGGTGTGGGGAAGATATGGGCTCTACCTACAAGATGGGGAGACGGTCCCCTATATTATTTGCGAAAAGCTGGGTTGAAGGAAAAAAAAAATCAGGGTTGGCTATTGCCTGTTCTGTAGTACAATTTTCTCACATGTGCTGCAGAAGATGCCTCGTTTCCTACATGCATGTGCTTCTAAGGGGCTCAGGTATTTATGAGAAAATGTGAATGTTTTATATATTTATTTTTTCAATGAATGAATGAAACTGTGCTTGAGGAACAAAAAGAAAAGAAAAGAAAATCTAAAGACAACCTGGACCGGGGGAGAAGCTGGGGGTAGAGCAGGAGAAAAACCCCCTTCCTTAGCCGATTGTGCACCAGCTGGTCGGAGACGGTGGACCACGCCCCTAGGAGCTCTGAGCTCCGACGGGATGGGAAGGGCGAGCCGGGTGTTACCTGTTGGAAATCAGGTCTTTTCTCTGTTCTCCTTGTCTCGCTTCTTCAGTGGATTATCAGGAACAAGAGATGTGTGAGCATCCTGGACGCTAAGCGTGGTGATTCATTTTTATTAGGAAGAGGGACACATCCAAGATTTGCAAGAATCTGAATTCCCACTTTCCCTCCCCCACTGCTAGATTTCTCTCCCATTTCGAATTGCTCACTTATTTCCTGAAAGAAATTTCAGAACCTTGATTGCAGTGAGGGTGGGGAGGAGTGACGAGCTCGGTATCTGCAGTACCGTCATCCACAGTGCCCTGACATCCTCCGAGAGAAGCTTTCAAACATTTGCTGGAACATATTTGAGTGGTTTGCTGAAGGTTAAGGAGAAAAATGGGTGTGGGATACTCGTGTGTGTGTGTGTGTGTGTGTGTGCGCACGCATGCCAGTAGCAGAGTGGTGGTGAGGGCAGTCTTGGTCAAAGAAGACCTTTACAGATTGTGTTAAAGGTGGGGTGCAAGAGATTGGATTTGGGTATTATTTCTGTTGCAGGTATTGGAAATTGGGCAATTTGTAATACACTCCCTGAATCTGAAGGGGGTGGAGAAGAGTAGAGAGGAAACATTTGCCTGCCAGCCTTGCACGTTTAGCCAGCGCCCTGGCAGGAGGGGTGGGGAGTGAGGAGGAAGGAGAGGCAAGAGAGACAGAAGCGGAAAGTCAGAACAGTGGATGGAGACGCAAATGACTGACTGACTGACTGACTGACTGACTGACTGACTGACTGACTGACTGAATATATGAAGTAGTGGACATCCTTGACTGTGTGCGGATGGTTGGAGAAAAGTCAGGGTTGGGTGGGGGTGCTATTTGCAGCATTTCTCCAAACTGCTGTTGGTTCAAAAGATGTTTCCGTTGGATCATTTTTGAAACTAGGACATTTGCTGTCTCGTCTTCCTTCATTATAATATATAAATGTAATAGATAGAGGTGTCTGGGCTAACCACACTGTCAAAGAAAGGTTCTAAGGTTACTCCCTTGGTGAGCTGGGGGAAAAAAATTTAGGACAGCAGAGCTGTAAGGAAGCCAATGCTATTCATTAAAAAGAAAAAGAACTTTAATTTTGGAAAGAAAAAATATGCTGGTTTACAACTTGTTTTCATCCTACTTGTACACATGGAAGTGTACATATACCTCATTTGATGAAGGGATCTATATATGCTTTTTACAAAGGGAATGGGAGCTGAAGGAATTCCCTTCCCTAAATGAGGACATCTGCCTACTCTGGGGTTCCATCGCCCCAGCAGCCTGCAGTTTTCCTGTGATGCGCAAAGTGATGAAGATGAAAATGTGCTTAGGAAATTGTAGATTCACATGTTGATGCATAGCTGTTCCATATTTCACATGCAACAGTCAGGCGTGCACTGTATATGGTTATCGTATGCTTTCCAGTGTTCTACATCATCCATATGCAAAGAAGAATGTGAAGCATTCAGAGATGGTCCTTTGAGCTCCTACATTCGAAAAATGTGTGCTTATGTGTGAAATGGTCAGGCCTCCTATATAACGATGTTATATATGACTCACATTCATCAGTGTTTCAGATATCATTAAACCAGACAGAGGAATGGTGTATTTAGGGCGTGGGCTTATACTACTCACTGGCATTTATAGACTGTGAATATTTAAGTCACCCACAGGTTTCCTGCTTGTGGGTGAAATGATTCCCTCTCATTCCTGGCAGAATCCAGTGCTGTCCATTCTTCTGGCATCTATTTATCAGCTTAGTTCTTAGCAGGGAGTAAAATAAGGGCGGAAATCTGCAAAGGTCTAAACTCTGCCACACCCATGAAATCCAGCAGAAATGTGGGAGGGGGCTGGAGGACCTGCACTTCCTTCCTCTTCCACTTGAGCAGCATAAAGAAGAGATCTTGGATTTCTAAATTGTAACACATTGCCAGTGCGTGAGATGAAAGCATACATGATCTATATTAGCCATTAGTTGATATTGCAGATTATTATAGCAGGAAAAAGAAAATAAAAATATTATTGAGATAAGAAGGTGGAAAGGAATGGGCAAAGGAGGAATAAAACAAAAGAATCACTGAGAATTTATTGGCTTAAGATTTTCAAATATTTTAGGGCTTACTTTTTGTGGATGATTAAAAACTCAGAAGGGGTGAAATACGTCTGCAAGGCAAGAAAACTAAGATGTTTCTTTTGTTTAAAAATAGTAACTTCAGTTTGTAATTGACATGTGTAATTGACATGTGAGCAAGTGGCCCCCTAACCCTGCTAACATCTGCCTATCTCTCCCTACAATAAATAATTCTTCCCTTTGAGAGTGTGACCTGTGGTTTGGAATTGCACCTCGCTGTGCCTTTCCCTCGGAGCCTGCAGAAGGTGTGGAGGGCTGCAGCCTGGCTGCTTGGTGCAGACCATGCTTCCTGCTGATAAACTGAATTCTTACTAAATCTCTGTGAGCCACACCCAGTGTCACCCGGGGACTTTTTGAATTAATTAAGTGGGGAAATTCTACTTAACAGAATTGAAGTTGCTCTTTTTTTTTTTTTTTTTTAAATACTGGCTTTCACTACACTTTCCAAATTTAAACCGAAAGAATTATTTAAAGGGCATGTTTATTTTTTTCTGCCCAATTCCTGGATTTGCTGAGAATCTCTGACAATCATAGCAGATCCAGAAACATGTTGATTTCTGGCTATTTCTAATTCTTGCTAACCTATTCCAGGATGCATGCAAAATGAGCCCTGATGTCTCCTGCGGAGAATCTGTGTAACTCTGGTCCCTCCCCCATCCCCACCCCCACCTCCAAGCTGGGCTGATGCAATGGAATAAGAAAACTCAGGGTTAATTTTTTTTCTTGCTGAGCTGGCAAAACTACAGAAACCTCCTTCGATGTTTCCCGCTGAAGGGCAGTGCTCCTGTTCATCAAGAAGGAGCATCAGAAAGGGTCTCCTTTGCCTCCATCATGGTGAAATTGTCAGTAATGTGCCTGGGGCTGAATTAATCCACAGATTTCAGAGTTTTCCTTGGTTGTTGGCCCTATCGGGAAAGGAGGGGGTGTCTTGCAATAGTAGAACATACATATTAACCCGATGATCCCCTTGTTCATTCTGACAAAGTGAAACGTCTAAAATCTTCCTGTACAAATAGTTCAAGGAATGCACCAAAAAAGTTCATCTCAGGAGGAGGGCTAGCATTTAACTCTTTGCTTCCCTATTAGTTGTAATTGAGGAATCAGAGCAATCCAGCAGTGTCTGTCATAAATCAAAGAAGTTGATTGTGTGCAAGAATTCTCCCTTGTGCATGTTTGAAGAGTGGGCAGATTGTGTCTGTATTGTTGTAATTAAGTCTGCATTATGTTCTCTGAAGCATTGGGAAGAACACTGTGCTGTGAGTCCTTAATTGATGCCACTTACTGATTCTATGATCTTGAGTGAATCATATCATCTTGGGCTTCAGGTTCCTCCTATCAAATGTAACTGAAAAAATAAATCCCCAAAACAAATAGCAAACCCCATACCACTTGCCTTAAGGAATTTTTATGATATAAAGACTACCAGTACAAGAAAATTTTCTCCCAAGTTTTGCAATGTGAAGTCTGAAGTTTTGCATAAGTGAAACATGCCTACCTTGCCAGCAGTTTTCTGTTAGACATAGTTGAGCACTTCTCTGCTCTTCCAGGTTCTCCAGAGTCTCACTTTCTCATGCCTCACTCTGTATTGGCATTGCTTCTTCTCTTGTGATGTAAGTTCTTTTCCTCTAGACCTATAAGTAAGCTCTAGTCCCTTCTTTCTTGAAGTATCTTCTGACTCTATACTTTGATCTCAGCAATGTTCTGGTTCACCTTCTTTATAGAACCGAGTTCCTAAAAGTGATCCATACTCATTTTTTCCTCTTCTTCATTCTTCACATACTATTCCATCCCCAAATTCCTTTGAAATTTACTTGGAAAGCAGAACAACAGGTAGTTGCCCTTTGGCCTCCATCTTGTTTGCGATTTCTTTAGTGTTTGATAGTGCAACCTGTTCTTCTTCCTGAAACTCCCCTCGCTGGGCTCCCCCACAGTTCTCAGTCCCCTCCCTCTCAGACAGGACTCTTCTGTCTTCTTTGGTTTTTCTTTTTACCCTGACCTCACACTCTTCCCTTCAAACACCAGCGATCTCTTGGTCCACAATCTTAATCCATTCTTCCTGTCACTAATCCTAGATGATCTCATTCATGTTCAGAACTTTAACACTGCTGTGGTTTCCAAACCTG